TAGTCCCACCCTTGGGGGCACTTAGAAGAGGCATGGGGGACACTTTGGTGTCACAGCACAAAGCTGAGGTGGCTGCTGGATTTTAGTGTCAAGTGCTGAGATGCAGGGGATGCTTGCAGCCAAGTTTCCCCCAGTTACTTACATGCCAGGACAACATGACATGAAACAAGCCCAACAATTTAAGAAATGGTCATTGAGGAAAAGAGAAGCTTAAAAGAATAAATTTAACTTTTAAATTATTAAAAAGTTTGCTATGGGCACATATTCATTACCTAATTTATATATTATATATAATCTATATTTTATATATAGTTATACATGCAATGTATATAATGTAATGTATGTAATCAATTAATACATTATTGCCCTAAAAATATGGGTCAGAGGAGACCTGACATTCAATTGATTTAGAATCAGATGTTCTTAAATTAGTGGAGATACATTAAATGTAGGTATTCCACTGGATTTTATTGTCAACTCACATATCCTTTTAAAACGTTAAGGTATAATGACAAATCTATGTTACAAAAATATTATATTAGTATTGAAGTTGTGTATTTTGAGGTTACATCCTAACGCATGGCTTCTCTAAAGCCTGATTTTATTATGATGTTGTTATTATTGAAACCACTTATGAATTATGTGTCAAGGTGCGGTACAAATTTGAAGACACACATAAGGTTTCTGTGATAACCTTTTACCTACTGAAAAGCATGTTCTGAAACAGACCGTTTCGGCTTCACACTTAAGGTCGTTTTTAAATTTCATTTTCCCCATTCCAGGGGTCTCTAACTTGTCTTGCTGCATTGCCTTTTTTTAAGGTCATTTTCTTACAAAGAAAAATGAAATTCTGTTTTCTTCTTTGCTGTTATTTATTCTAACCCTTTTTATTCTAGATATACCGTTATTCCGTTCGTTTGCCTGCACTCACTTGTACAACATGATTTTTGATCATCCAGTTTGAATCCAAACATGCACTTCTAAGTGGACGCAGGCATTCAGCCATTCTCGTCTCCTGTGCTTGGGCATCTCCATATTGAAATAGTCATGGCTGAGTGGTTACACACAGACATACATAGGGTTATAGTTTATTTTCCTTTGATGTTTCCTTAATATCTTAATTAAGGCTTCATGTTTATTTTCTTCTTGCAATCAGATGTATAGGTAGTTAGCCATGAACTTCAATTCAGATGACACGGGGGCATTAAAAAGTGGCCTTTTGTTCTAATAGATTGGGAAACCACCACTTAAAGCAACCCTTAGATGCTTTGAAGTTGGCTAAGGTAGGGTGACTATTCGCCGGCTTGCCTGGAGCAGCTGGGGCTTACCCGCTCGCCCTGTTAGTTGTATCTCTCTCAGTGTGTGAGAGCCCCGGTTGGATGCACTGTCTTAGCACACATTTTAGAAGCGTTTCTCCTCCTTCCCCTCCTAACCGTACTATTCGTTTTCTGAGCTCCGTGTCGTTCCCTTCGGTCTTCCTGTGACACAGCCCTGCTTTACTTTTATCCCCTCCTCTGTTGACCTTTTCACTCCTAAAGCCTGCCAACATTCTTTCACTTGCCCTTGAAAAATCTAAGATGTGTGGTTAAAATTCCTGTGTCTTGGTCGTCTTATTTCCCTGCCAACTTGGTCCTGTCTTCACTGCTTCCCTTAAGTGGCTCTTCTAATTTTGGCATTCAACCTTAATCCTCTTTCCACTTTTTTTCAGCATAGCCTAACTCTTCTGCCAGATTTTCATACTTTTGCAAAATTAGTCTTGCCTTATCTAACAATTTGCAACTTAAATTTTTTCCCATAAATAGACTTTGTTGGTTAATTTAGCCCAAATTCTCTTTGTTTTGAAGCAAACTCTTTTGTTACAACTCACATTAAAAAAGCATTCCTCACATTCACTTGTAGTTGGCTGCTTTATGTTTCACCTCAAATTATACCATAAATCGTTCTCACTCTGACATAGAAGCACCTCTACAGAACATTCTTCTGCTGTGGAAATGCCACATGTTTGCTAAGATATTTCACTTCTTTCACTTAAGCGGTTTTTATTTATCCTCATAACCATTTTAAAGTGTAAAATTCTTTATCATTAAGTATAATGTTTGCAGCTGTTACCACTATCTAATTCTAAATCTTTTTGTTACCCCAAGGGGAGCTCCCATACACATTGGATTTTTCCTCCTACTTTGTCCTCTCCCAGGGCCTGACAACTATTTACGTTTCATATAGAAGGAGTCTTACAGTATGTGGCCTTTTGTGTTTGGCCTACGTCTCGTGACATACTTTTCAAGGTTCATCTGTGCTATAAAATATATGAGTATTTTCTTCCCTTTATACCTGAGTAGTATGTCATTGTATGGAGAGATCACATTTTGTTTACGTGTCCATCAGTTGATTGGCCTGATACGTGTCAGATCTTTACTCCGAGATGAGATGAGTGTGATACGTGGTGGTAATGAGCGCAGTGAAGCACACGGTAGGGGAGAGCGCTGGGGCCTGGCTCTGTGGACATGGCTGTTGTATAGAGCATGTGAGAAGCGCTGTCCATCCTGTTTCCATGTCAGAATTTACTTTCTGTGTTTCTTGTTATAATTTTTTTCTTTCATCTTTTTTCTTTTTTTGTGTGACTAGAATATGTTCTTTTTTTCTTGACCATTGTATTCATTGGTTTTAGAAAATATACATAAATAAGTGAATAAAACTGCTGAGTCCTACAGCCAAAAATAATCACTATTATTAACATTCTGAAATGTTAATATGTTAATATGTTAAAATGTTCTAGTCATTTTCTAATGCATGAACAGCTTAGCTTCACCTAATAGGATTACAGTAAATAAGTATTTTACACATTGCTCTTTTATTTCATAAAATTAATTTATTTCATAAGGATTTGAATACCTACAAAGTGCTGAGGGTTATTCTAGATATCTCCAACAAAGAATGACAACTTTCAATGGGAATACAGGTTGGGGCATCAACATTCTGGTGGTACTTAAAACTCTGGGGCTGAGACCTCCTGGGGATCTAACTAGAGCTAGATGGGGCTCAGAAGTCACCCTGAGGGCACTGCAACATACAGATGCTAGATATAAAAGGAGGCAGAAGAAGGATCGAAGCCTGGAGGAGCAGAGTTTAGAAGAGAAAGTGCCTTGAAGCAAATGAACATCTGAGTGAGAGAATTAATCACTGGGTTTGGCAATATGGTGGTCATTTTGGAGGTCAGTACTTAGGTGAGGATCATAACCTGATCAGAGGGCACTTGGGAACAAGTGAGATAATATTTAACAGATTTCTTAATGTATTGGCTATGCTTTTGTTGTTCCTGGGCTTCGAATATGCTAGGCAACGAACCTACTTACTGTGCTACATTCCCCAGTTCCTGTTTTATCTGTTCTTTAATTTAATGACAGAAAAAAGTGTAACTGAATATTTTATTTAACCAAGTATTCTCTTTCTGGTGAGTGACATATGTGCTAGTTCCAATTTTTGCCATTATCCATTACAAATAAGACCAAAGTGCACCGGTCTGTAAACTTCTTTTCTGTTTTCAGCAGCATCTCCTCTGAATGGAACCATACAAAGGGAGCTGCTGGTCCAAGGGCAGCGCATCTTTATAGCTTATGATTTTCACTTGCTCAAATTTTTTCTAGGGAACTGAGTAGTTGGTGCTCCACTGCAGTGAGAGCCCAGCCCAGCGTTGGGCCCTTCTAAAGTAAGCCTGTCCTTTTATCAATGTAGAAGGTCTAACACTGAGCACAGAATGCAATGACAAGAACTAAATCACGTTATGGAGTGAAAACTAGACCCAGGTCACTAAGCACTGTGTTAACCGGAAATGCATGCATAGTAACTGCCAGTACCAGGAGCCACAGCCTCATCATGGAATCTGTTTTTATGAAGCTTCTGGTAAAATCTCAAACCCTGCAGGTGCAGCCAAGGGAATTCTTAGCCATGGCCTTCCTGCTCCACTCCTGTGTCCCTACACTGTTGCATAAATGTGATCAGTGGGATAGTGTAAGGAAATTGACCCTTTCCCAGTAAACACCTCCAAATTCTTCATCACAGCTCCCTGCTCACGTCAGGCAGTGACCTCTGCCCTTTCCTTTACGCATGTGCGTGGGTAGGGTTTTATAAACATTCCCTGCCTGTAGCAGAAAGAGAACAACTTCTAGGGGTTCACCATCTCAAAAATATCCGCTCAGGGCTGGGGAAAACAGCTCAGCAGCACAGCACTGCCTGGCAAGTGCGAGGGCCTGAGTTTAATTCCCAGTCCATTAAAAAAAAGTTCTCTACCCTCTCTCTATATCCCCCCCCCAAAAGCCAAAAGAAATAACCTATTAATTACTTCCTTGTCACCTTATGAATCACCCCTCACTAGCTGCAGCAGCTGGATAAAACGAACTGGCCCCAGCTGTCTGCCTGAATTTGCTGTTTAACTGCTTCCTAATGGGCACTTCTACAGCTCATCAAAGGTTTTCAGTTTGCTATTTTCTGGGCCTTCCTCAGATGGAGTGTTGTATCACTGGTGAACAGACCCAGGTAGAGATGTAAATGGGCATCTCCCTCCCTCTCTCCTTTGAAATGTGTCATGTTCTGGAGGGGTCCTGAATTCCACAGTTAATTCCCACATTGGATGGTCAGGGTGACACCTTGCAATTTGGCAGAGTAGTTGAATGTTCTAGAACCCGGCAGACCTAGGTGAATTCCTGCACTGTTTTTGGCTCTATGATTTTGTGTGGGTGATTCAAATTCTCTGAATCTAATTTTTTCTCATCCATTTAACAAATAGGATAGTGTAGTGCCAGCCACATTAAGTTATTACAAGAAATTCACATGATAATATGTGTAGTACCTAGCCTAGTACCCTGGAGACCTAGTGCATGCTTACCAGAGTGAACTGTTACTGACATTGTCCAGCTTCTCCTGTTGAATCTTCTGACTTTCATGGCTCTCCATTCATGAATTAGACCTGACTCTTCGTCCCTCTTTCTGTTTCCTACTGGCAGAGAGTTTTGCGAAGAAGCATGGTCATCCTGTTGTTTCCAAAGCCCTGGGGTAAGTTCTGGGCTGTCTAAGCCAGAGTAAGCATTGGGTTGGCTTCACCAGCTAACTTCCAGGATAGGTCCATGGAGTAAGTCTTCTTGGATATCCTAAGATGTAAGAACTAAAGGGTGGGAGCCTCCATGGGTGGCCCGTTTGGCTCATCTTCTAAATGCTAAGGAAGTGGAGACACAACCATAGGTCTCCAGAGGACTCCAACACAGGCAGGTCAGAAAGTTTCAGTGAGCGGACTTCCGTAGGCAAATAACAGAAGCTTCTGTCACAGACAAGCCCCCAGTGGCAATGATTCAATACAGAGAAAGCCTATTTCTCACTGAAGGGAAGTTCAGTCCATGTGCTGTTGAGCAGGTAGAAATCTTTCCATGTTCTCTTCCAGGAACCAAAGCTTCTTCCTCCATTTGCTAAGCCCATCTCCTGGAGCCTCTGAATCTAGCCACTAGAGGGACAGGAAAGACTGGAGAATCTCGTGGGAGTTTTTCATGAGTCAGCCATGGCCGTTGCACACAATACTTCCACTTCCACTGTATTGTTCAAAAGCCAGGCCTTTGGCAGAGCTTAGCAGAATTCAGGGATCCCTAGATACAAGAGAGGCAGGTAAACTGAGTGTGGCTGCACACCCAGGAGATGTGGCCGATAGGTTTTGGTGACACACGTTTTTCCAGAGGGCGCAGCAGAAAGTGTTTCGGGTATAGCATTGGGAAGGCTGAGGCACTAGGATGGAGTACAGAGAGGGAGATCAAATGACTAACCTGGATTCTTTGATGGCTCTTTTCCAGGGACAGATTTTCAGCCCCAGCCGTGGAAGTTCGTCCTGGCATCTGGGGGGAGTGCCCACCAAAGTTTGCTACTAAGTTGGGCCGAGCAGTGGTCAAAGAAGGGCAGATGGGGCGATTCTCCTGCAAGGTCACTGGCCGGCCCCAACCTCAGGTCACCTGGCTCAAGGTAAGGTTTGGTCTGCCTGGCTGTGGGAAGTCTGGAAGTTCAGGGTTAGACACTTGGACTAGTATAAGTCTGTCTTTCTAATCAGTGCCCTTTATTTTAGTTGTACGTAGTCTTTGAGGGCTCTCTGTATGTTTGATAGTGATGCTTGTTTTTAGCCATTTGCACACTTTCCTTGTGTTTTTCAGACCACGATTTTTCTGTAATCCTTACGCTAGAAAAAGGCATAAAAAATTTAGACCTGAACATTTCAAGAGGGTAGAATTTAAAGTTAGGATGCTAGGTTTAAGGCTACAACTCCTGTTTAGAAAGCACATGACCTTGGATAGGTCATGTGATCTCTGGACTGCTGTTTCTTTATCTGGGAAGTAGAAATATATGCTACTTACCTCAGAAATGGTGGGACACTCCAGGTAGAGGTGCTTTAGCAATCATTCAGGGCTGGGAAGTGAAGGGAGGTGGAGGAGGCAATGAGACAGGGTAGGGAGGTGCAGGATAGTGAGAAACGTCTGGAACAGGCAGGGGAGAGGAAAAGACAAACTGAGGTTAGTGTTTTGGTTACTTTTGTCTTGTTGCTTAGACAAAATACTTGATACTCAAAATTAAGGAAGGAAAAGTTTATTTAGCTTACAGTTTTTTGGAAGTTTCAGTCCGCACTCAACTGGCTCCAAGACAGAGTGGCGTGGCTAAGGGGAAACCATTCATGGTGGCAGCAAGTGTCAAGAGCAAAAAGGGCAAAAGGGAAAGGCTACCTCCCCCACCCCTGTACTGTATGCCAGCTCCCTGCCTCTGGGCAGGTGCAGCACTCATCACCTATCCTGGCGCTAGACAACAAACCAACCACAAATGCTAGATTCGGATGCCTCCATGATGCAGGGGGCTTTGGGAGGACATCCAAACACAAACCATAACATTAGGAATTCAGGAATCCCTATGTTAAGTCCAGGCTCCTTTGAAACATTTCCCATGTGTATGCTCTAAGCTGAACCCAAAACAATCTCTTATACACAGACCTCAAAGCAGGGTGCTCAGCTGCTCCACCCTGTCCTCTGAGTATGACATCTCAGAGCAGACATCCATCCCACAGGACTAGCAGGAGGCAGATAGTGCCAAAAGGTGAGCAGACTTCTGTGACCAAGCTACCCTACTGCCATCCGCAGGGAAGTGTCCCCCTGCAGCCGAGTGCCCGTGTATCTATGTCCGAGAAGAACGGGATGCAGGTCCTGGAAATTCATGAGGTCACCCAGGATGATGTGGGCATGTACACATGCATGGTGGTGAACGGGTCAGGAAAGGCCTCCATGTCGGCAGAACTCTCCATCCCAGGTATGGGGGTGTGGTGCAGAGGGACCCCTTTCTGGTGTCCTACAGCTTGTTTGTTCCTTATGTACCTGTGCGTTCTCGTGAGACAGGGTCTTTGACAAGAAAGTAAATCGGGCCAGCAATACTGACCTGGTCCTAGAGAAAGAGCTATGAACTGGCTACCCCTTCATTTCTGACCCTGCACTTGACCCCAACCCTGTCTTCATCCCTTCTTTCCTGCTCACACACCTTACTTATGCCTCCACTGATTGAAGGAGTGATGTTGCTGATGTTTGGCCATCCTCTGTGCCTAAACTTAGCTTGTTGTTTGCTCTGTCCTTCAAAATCCTCAACTTGAGTCATTCTACCCAGGATTCCCATGTTCTTCTCTTTAGACTGGTTAGCATCCTCCTCATAGATGTCATCCATTTTTGGTGTTTCCCTGGGTGTCTCTCTGAGCACTGTCCTCCATACATTGTTCTTGGTTGCTCCCACTGCAGCCTGGGGAAGCCACAGCATGCACATGGGGAGGGCCTGGATGTCATCAGTAGACATGATCTCCGGTGGTACAGACTTTATTGGTCACAGAAATCAGCTATAGCTTGAGGCTCGGAAGAGAAGTGGCTTCACTCTGTCATCCTCCTCTCTTTCCTCTTTCCTTCGATAACTTTTCTCTTTTGCATCTCCTTCCTTTCCCAGAAACTATGACACCTTGCTGCGTTTACATTTTCTTTTTTTCGGCTCAAGTGTTTTTCACAATCTGCAGAAATTCAGTTTGCATTGCAACCGAGAACACATGTGCATTTATAGACACATTTAACTGAGACAAGTTTCAGGAAATAGTCCTGACTTACTCTGTGTACACTGCATGCTGGTATGTGTTCTATTCCAGTGGAACCCTTAAAACAAGAAATTCTGGTTCTGATCATATAATGTGACTTGCCTGCAGGTCAGAATCTGTCATCGGGCATCTGGAGCAGGATTTCAACCTGTGTCACTTCACTTACTCTAACCTTGAATGTTAGCATGCACTTAATAATAAAATGATACATTGCTGAGATTTGCTTTAAAGTACAGTAAATCCTTGACTTATTCTGGGGGAGTGTTCATAAGTTGGATTCATAATAAGTCTGACAAAGTGAATCTTACACACCTTTTATACAAATATACAATGTAAACCATAAAAAAACACAAATACTGTACACTATCACACTGTACATTCAACACACAACAGCACAACTGTGACAATGTCCAGCAGACACATGAGCTACTTCTGTGATTTGCTCACATCTATGAATCTTCATAATGCAGGATCCAGTCATATCCCTGAAAGTTCACAACTCAAATGTTTGTAACTCAGGGACTCAACTCTCAAACAAAATAAGATAAAGAGGGATGCACAGGACTGGGAAATGTGGCTGTGTCCACATTTGGGAAATGTGACTTGGTGATAGCTTTGAAGGTTTGCGATACCTTTCTACTGTTATATATTTTTAAATTTTACATAATAAAGTTTAAAAAGAACATGACAGGAAAATATTTATCATGTATTTTTTTTTCAAAGAACAGAATAAAATTGCACTTTATATGTTTTTAAAGCATGTATTTGTGAAAAATTAGTGCTTTGAGGGGTCTGTTTTTGAGAGTCACAGTTATTAAAGTGTTGGGTCTGAAATTTTCAGTAGATGGATTGTGTTAGTCTGTCTCTCCCTTGGTTTTTGCTCCTTCTGTTGAGTGAAGGGGAAAGGATTCTTGCCCTTAAGTATCAGCTCCTGTCAGAAGTCAGGAGGCCACCCTGGACACCTGGATAGTCTCTCCAGGGCTGAGAGGTTCTCAGACCAACCAAAGAGGTTCAGCACTAGCGAGCTGCAGCAGTGAGCCTGGGTGGGACCGCGTGGCAGGGAGGAGAACTGTTAAGGAACGGATGCTGTCTTGTCATTGTCTCCTCTAGGTGTAGAAAGCATTCCACTAACTGTCTTTTGTCCTTCCCCCTTCTTCCAGGTTTGGACAGTGCCAACAGGTATGGCTAGTCTTGTGATTCTTACTTTCCACTTTGAGATATCCTGGAGGAAGTCATGAAAAATGCCCTGAATTTTCCTAATTATCATGTAGTGAAGAAGATTTGACTGAGTTTAGGGGTATTTTTGTTTAGGCTCCTATGATTTGAGATGTTCTGCATTTTTCTTTCCTATATGCAGTCCAGTTCTGAATGAAGCTTGCTATCAGTATTGGGACTCTTGAAAACTCCACGCTGCCCTCTTCCTCTGTATCCCCAAGTTAGCCAGCAGGCCAGAGTCCTCGTGCGCACTCAGCCCACAGCCTGAGGCACTTTCTCTCCTATGTGTGAGACCCAGAAAAAGGCCTTGGCACACAGGCTGAGCCAGCTGTCAGTTGTGAGCAGAGCTTAAACAGTCACTCAAATGTGTACTTATTACCGAAGAATGGCAGAGACTCTAATTCAGGTTCCAAGGCTAGGAGAACCTTTCTGCAGACTCCATATTTGAGCTCAGACCTATGAATTGTAATTTTGTCAGGCAAAAAAAAGCCCAAGAGAATGTGTTCCAAACAGAGGGACCAGTGTGTGTGAGCTCTAAAAGGAGAGGGGGGCTACGGGGTCCAGAGGAACCCCGGTGCTACAGCCTGGCCGGTAGTGTGACAGCGTCATCTGAGGTCCCTGGGGAGCTGGAGCCAGGTCACTTAAGGGCATCTTACAAGGCTGGTTTACTGTCAGAAGAGTGGAAAGTGTGTGGAAAATCCTGGATCTTCGAGTGTTATAATTTATGCCTTTGCAAGATTAACTCACTTGCTGAGTAGGATTGGATCAAAGAGGAGCTATGAGAGCAGGGAAGGCCGGCTGGGAGGCTTGAGGACAGAAGCATAGGTAAACAGTGCTCCGGATGGAGGTGAGGACAGGGAAGGGTCAAGAAGGGCCCTGGTGCTCTGGCTCAGGACTCTGAGCAAACCTCAGAAATATTGCTGCTCTTCCTCGTCCCTAATCTATGGGCTTTTGTGAGCCCTGGAATCTGTGCTCATGAGGAGACTGTTGGTGAGTAACCAGACGTTCACTGTGCTCCTCCTCCTCCTCCCTCCCACCCCACCACCATACCACAGGTCATCTGTGAGAGCAACCAAGGATCTGGATGCAGACATCAAGAGGGAAGTGACCAATGGAATCACGAAGGGCCTGAAACTGGACAGCGTGGAGTCAATGGCCAGAAGTAAGACCAACCCCAGCCTTGACAAAGGTGGCTGTCAGGCCCAGGTCTCAAACAGCCCATCACATTCTCTGTGGGAGCCCAAACCAGAACTCTGTGCAGACTCCTCCAGAAAGGTCCTGAAGACTCCTGTCCTGCAGAAGACTTCCAGCACTATCACCTTGCAGGCCACAAAAGTCCAGCCAGAGCCCAGAGCACCAGCCTTGGAGGCTCTGTCTCCTTCCAGGGAGGAAAAGAGGAGGTTGGCCACTTCCCAGCCAACCACCTCCCCCACCACGAGGCCCAGCCCGGAAAACCCAGAAGTTGTGAGCACCGTTGCCACCAGGAAAACCCCTGTGGAGAGCCAGAAGGAGTGGACATTGCCCAAGTTTGAGAGCAAGCCCCAAAGCCTGGAAGTCTGCGAACATGAAACAGTCAAGTTCAGGTGTGATGGTGAGTAGACCTGGTGAAGTCCCAGTTCCTAGAAACCAGCCCCTTCATGGCCACCCCATCGATTCAGCACCTCTGAATTCACCCTCCCCCTCTACAGGTCCACAGGTTGCCCCTTCCAGGGGTCTTCCCTTCAGAGGTCTCAGTCTAGAAAAACCCTTCATTCTGGAGAAATACCCAGCAGTGGTCCATTGTTGCTTGTAAAATGCAGCATCAGCCCTGTGCCCTAATTTGTCCCACCCTAGAAGGAACGCAACCCTCACCATTGCCGTCATCAGAACACCAATGTTCACTTCCTCTCCTCTCTCCTCCTCTTCCTGGCCTTGGTGGACCATCCCACTCACATTCCTGTTCCCCAGGACCTCAGCCTGCCTGTGCACTTCTGCCCACTCGGAAAGCAGAGTGCCTTCCTCAGGTAGGGGGTACCTCATGTTCTTCACCTGCCTGTAGTTTCAGGGGTCCCGAAGCCTGAGGTAGCCTGGTTCCTGGAAGGCATCCCTGTGCGGACAAGAGAAGGCACCATTGAGGTTTATGAGGACGAGAGATCCTACTGCCTCTGCCTGCTGAGAGCCCGGACCAGAGACAGCGGGCAGTACAGCTGCACAGCTTCCAACAGCCGAGGCCGGGTGTCCTGCAGCTGGACCCTCAGAGTTCAGAGTGAGTACATCCCTCCCAGACCCCAGCTTCTTGGGGTGCTTTGCATGTTGCAAGTGCTTCAACTCCTCAGCTCCGCTCCCCAAGGCTCCAGCTGAACATTGCTCCCACTCGCCTGTCAAGGCCTAGTACATTGCTCCTGGTGGGAGCTTTTGTTGTTGTTTTCAGTTTGTTTGCTTGTTCATAATGGGCATTAAACTCAGGGCCTTTGCACTGGGCTACATTTCCAGCTCTTTTTTTGCTTTTTAATTTTGAGATAGGGTCTTCCTAAATCACTAAGCTGCCCAGGCTGGACTTCAATTTGCAGTCCTCCTGCCTTCCTTACCAAAGTGCTGGAATAACAGGCATGTACCACCATGCCCAGATCTAGCAATGATTCTTAATTAGGGTTGACATCAAAATCATCTCTAGGTAAACGAGCCCAGGGCCATGCCCAGCTCTGCCTTTCTTAGGTTGCTTGACTGTCTAAATAGTACCTTCACTCAACTTTTGTAGCCACAGAGAACCAAATGTTCAGCAAATATACAGGTTTAGGGAAATGCAAGAACATACCTCTTACATTTATTGTAATGTCTCTTTATAAGAATAATCATGTTCACTGTGGAGCATTTATTTTTTTCTTCTAATCTTTTTTTTTATTACTTTGAAGTTAGTGAAATACAACAGAACAAGACAGAACCAAGATAGCCATTTGAGACAGTGCAGTGAAACTGGTACAGAACTTCACAGCAGATTACCAGGATAATAGTAATAGGTACCATAGTACATCTATTGTTATCGTCACAATAGTTGTTCTTTCAATCAGGTATAGCAAAATCAAACCAAATACAGAACATTATAGAACTTATCAAAACAGAGCATTGAATAGAACAATACAGTTAATCAGAACAACGCAAAACAGTGATAACAATATTTGCATTCAAAGAGATGGTAGAAGGAAATCCCCCATATTTGCTATATTGCATATGGTCAGCCTCCCAAGAGATGCTCAGACCTCTGGCTTCCGTTTGCTAATGGGGGGCGGGATGGGATGTTTGATTCCACCAATAGACTCACAGCTGCTTACCCGGGAGGCAGGCTGGTTGCTTGGTTTCCTAGTGCTATAAGTTTCAACATGGAGTGGATTTCGGGAGACCTGGATGGTTCTTCCCCTGTGGCAGCTGCCAATCACTGTGGAGCATTTAAACCATGTATAATCTTTAGATCTAAAGTAAGTATTTTTAGAGTTTTAAGAGGGGGAAATATGTAAATCTAATTCAATACATTTAAAGCCAAAGTTTTTACATACTGTATAAACAAATGATAAAACAAACTACCAATTGAGACATGCTTGAAAAACATTTAACTAATACATTTACTGGTATTTAGAATATACTGTATTTATTTTTTATTAGTACACATTTGCTGTACATAATGATCACATTCATGATAGGGAATTTGTATCTATACATAATATATCTTAATTCTTCTTCTTTTTCCCATTCCCCTGCCTTTCCTAAAACCCTTCTTCCCTTCCCCGTTTACAAAAGCTTTGTCTCTTTCCATCCGTTGTTTTAATCCTTTTTTCCTTCCTTCCTTTGTCCCTCTATCCTCTCTATTTCCCTTCCCATTTGAACATGTCCTTCCTACTTCCAAATATCCACCTTCTGCTTTGCTCCTTAATTACCTTTGGGTTTTTCACACAGTAGAAACAATGTGATACTTAAATGTGTGGAGTGATTTATTTCACTTAAAACTGTGGCCTTGAGGTACGTCCATTTACCTAAAAATGACTCAAGTTTATGCTTCTCTGTGGCAGAGTAGTGCTCCATTGTATACACAACAGACCTGCGTGAAGTTGTGGTTCACAATTCACAGCCTCAGTCATCTGAGGATTTTTCCATAGAATCTAAATAATAATTGTTTGTGCGAACACCACCACCCCCCAGTTTCGTATAATCTGCAAATTTTCTCCACAATTGTTTTTTGGTGAGAGGTTTGCAAGTATGCAATCTGAGAGCATTATTCAGTTCTCCTGGCTGCTGATTGGCTGCTGCCCTGTAACCCATTTTTTTCAGCATTCCTGCATCATAACAGGTTGCTGTACCCCATGTAGCTATCTCAAGTTTTCTTGGTTTTGTTCTTCTTAAAGCCTTAAGATCCCTAACATGCCACCAAAATGCCCTGCACTATCCAAGGCTTTTTTTTGTATTTTTACTGGTACCGGGGATCAAACTCACAACCACAGGCTTGCAAGGCAGGCGCTTATGCTGCTGAGCTAAATCCCCAGCCCCCCAAGGCTTTATTAATACAGTATTTTATTAAATGAAATATACAACTATGGAAGACATAGCATATTTAGGGTTTGAACTATAAAATAGGCATTCGTTTTCTGACCCTTTCTCAAATTGTGATTTTTCACAATTAACGGGAGCTCTAGGAACGTAGCCCCCATGAATTTAGGGGATCCACTATAAATATCACATTTTCTCTATGGATAAATCTGTTGATGGGTAAACAGGCCACTTCCAATATTTAGCTATTGTAAATTGGACTGCCATAAACATAGGTATGCACATATCACTGTGGTATGCTTTTAACTCTTTCAGGAAATGCCGAGGAGGGGGACAGCTGGGTCAAATGGAACCGCTAGTTTTAGTTTTTTGAGGAATCTCTACTGATTTTCACAGTAGTCATGCCAATTTACATTGCCACCAACAATTGCAAAGAGTTTGTTTTTCACCACAGCCTCAGCAGCATTTGTTATTGGATGATTTATTGACAATGGCCACTCCTTCTGGAGTGAGATGGAATCACAGCATTGTTTTTGCATCTCTTGAGTGACAGTGATGTAGAATTTATTTACCATTTTTACTTCTTCATATGAAAAATGTTCTTTATATAGTTTAGATATTAGTCTTTTGTTGTTGGAGGAGTAGCTGACAAAATTATTTTTCCATACTGTGGGTTGTCTCTTCACTCTGTGTTTTCTTTTGCTGTGCAAAAACTTTTTAATTTGATATAATCCCAGTTGTTGATTCTTTGTAGTATTTCCTGTGCAACTGAGATTTTGTTCATAAAATCTTTGAGTGCAACTAAGTCTTCTAGAGTTCCACCTATTCTTTCTTCCAACAGAATAATGCTTCTGTCTTAATATTTAGATCTTTCATTCATTTCTATTTTAATTTACTGCATGGTGAGAGATGAGTATAGGTTCAGTCTTCAGCATAGGGAAACCAGTTTGCCCAGCACCATTTATTTATTTATTTATTTATTTATTTATTGGTACCAGGGATTGAACTCATGACCTTAGCACTTGCCAGGCAGGCACTTAGGCACTGAGCTAAATTCTTGGCCTACTAGCACCATTTGTTAAACAGACTTTTTTCCACTAAAGATGTTTAAGCCTGTTTGTCAAAGATAAGGTAGCTGAGTGTGTTTGGGATTGTTCACACATCTTTTTTTTTAATAGAGTAAGATTAAACAGAACAAAACAGATCATAAGGAGACAATTTTAAGAAACACAGGTTTCAAAGCAAGTCCACTGGAGATCGTCACTGTCTGTCTTATTGTCTCTAGTTTACTTCAAAATAGTTGTCCCCATCTTCATACACAGTGAATACATACTGAACATTATAGTACTAATCTAGTCAGAACAGGATGATGAAGGCTTTTTAGGTCTTCAAGACCTGACATTAGGGAAGTCAACAATGGCTGCTATAATGTCTCTCATTCTCTTCAAAGTAGCTGTCCATATTTTTATGTATGCTGAAATTAAACATAAGAAACTAGACAAACATCACCCTAAACAGTGAATAATAGTATTGCTAGATTTTATATCATAATGCTGCAGAATCAGCACTGGGTTTCTTAGTGTTTCTTTTTCTTCAGAGTATCTGTTCATTACATCGTGCATTATATAATCTGTTCCCGTAAACTGTTTAGAAATTCTTCCCATGTGTGAATCTCTACATGAATACCTATCCTTTCTGTATTATAGGGAAAAACAGATCAAAACAAGACTACAAAACAAATTTCTAGAAAAACATAAAGTGAAAAAGACATATAAAACCACAATATTAGGTGATCTACAGTAGTTACTATGCTTTCTCTTGTTATTTTCAATAGAATTGTCTACATCATCAGACATAATATAATTGAACATAGCATTACATAGCAATTTTAATAAAAACATTGGAGACATTGGAGACAATTTTAATAAAAACATTGGAGACATTCAAAAGGACTTCAAAAGCAGTTAATAGTCAAACCAGGATGGGTATCTTATTATATCTTGTCATCTTCAGAGTAGTTGCCTCCTTTCTAAGACTTGATTCTATCAAGCATACCAAATTCAAATAAAATCAGTCAAGATAAAACAGCAGTCTAACAAACCAGCTTCAAATAAGATCAGTCATAGTAAGACAATGTAATAAATACGGGGCTTCAGTTTAAGTTAATAGAGAATTAAGGATATTTACCATAGTATATCCTGCTATTTCTGGGTTAGCTGTCTGTGCCCTCAAATCTAGTATGAGTAGACAGACCAGAACAAAATAAAATCATACTAAACAGAGCAATAAGACTAATGTGGCTTTTAAATCCTGATACACTATTAACAATGTCCTCCGCCTTCCTTTTTAAGACAATTCCTCCCCTTTCCCTTTCTCAGGGTGCTTTGTATATTTTGGGTCCCACTAACTCCTTTAGTTTTTAGATTAGGGGGGCAACCCGCTATCTATCTAAGTGGTGTTGAACCTTTTTACCCCTGAGCTTGATCCTGAGCTGTATTCCTATACCTACTAAAGCCACAAGGTTTTCCTTCCTTCTAGCTGAGTAGTTCTACACTGCACAAAAGTGTCATGACTTTCCAACCTATCTGCAGCTGCTGGATGAGTTGTCTCTATTTCTCTCTGGTTCCCTGTCACATAGAGCATTGTATTCTCATCTTTGACTTTCAGTTTATTGACCCTCTTTCAGGTTGAGTATATTTCCTCTTCAGAGCATCTCGATGGATCCTGCCT